CATATTTAAAGTGGTAAATAAAGTGAAATTTTTCCGACAATCACATCCTATCATCAAATTCTTCATGATCAGGAACAGAAAGAAATTTTCAAGTTGATGGTTGTGGAGAAAATCGGGTGAGCGGTATTACCCGGTGAGCGGTACAGGCACACCCTCCCNTAATTTTGAAAAATGATAAAAGATGTCAAAACATCTGGACTCATGGTCGTGTCATATNAATAAAATGGAATCACCCACTCATTTATCAGGTTTTTTCCTGATTTTTCGGATGAAAATCATCTTAAAATCTTGTGAAATAATTCTCGATACGCTGTCAAAGTGACAGAATATTTAAAAACTGAGAATCTTTAGATTATTGGGATCAAACATTGTTAATCCTGAATGTGTCATTGTGTCCAAGGACACAAGAAGCATCCCTAGATGTATTCTGAGGATGTCTCAATGAGTGAAACGATGATTCCAATTAAATGGAGTTGGCCTTCAACCTGACCAGTATCTAGATGGCATTATCAACAGGTGAATAAGACACAACAAACATTCGTTTGTTTTTTACTATAAATAATTGANACCATCTCTGCAAGTGATACTCAATGTTGAAGTGTAAGCTGGGTATCTATCCAATTATCTGGACCCCCTATTTTGTTCAATGATTATTCCCCTGTGGATCTATCAGATATTCAGCAATACTCTCTACTGTTGCCTTATAAGGGGCTGCTGTTAATGCCCTGACTCGTTGGCTTATTGGATACCTATCACTTCAAGAAATAAGTCATTATAATTGAAGAACTGAAAATCGACGTATTTTTCTTCTACCCAGTTGAACTCAACTGGATTTTTTCAGAATTTTTTTTTCCATCCATTTATAGATTTTTTTTGAAACTAAAGCCTCATATGACTTTTCAAATAGCCAATGGATAATATGATCAGTTCCAAAGAAAAAAAAGCAACTAGAGTTTCTTCTTTAATTTCTTTGTTTTTAATCCAAGTGTTTCTCAGCCTGCATCTAGTCAATTAGCACTCTCTTTACCATGTGAGAGTTACCTGTTCGTAAGTAGAATCACTGATTTCATGGGCTTCGTTGGCCTCCAATCAACCATTTTTGTTTTTTGTTTTTTGAATTTTTAAGAATTCTCCATGGAATGAAAGCTCTATTTTTAACGAGCATGAATAATTTTATGGAACTTGATATGCATGTGCATGTAAGTGATCAGCGATCGAGAATGACAACATTATACTGTTCCGCAAAAATCCCGAGATATGAAGCAATGTAACATGATAATTTGATTTTACTTCTTAATTTTTCATCATCTTTCTAAAGGAAAAAAATGTAAGTCTACTATTACCCATCCAATCCTTGTTTCTCATCACTGTCTTGAATAAAAAAATTTCATGAAACATTTGAATTAATGAAATGTGTTATTTCACTCCCTTCTGAGAATTTTTCTGAAAGTTCTTCTTCCAAACGCAAGTTTTTCTTTTCAAGGAACTTCCAATAATTACAATAGTGTGTTCAATGGTTAATTTCGGATTCACGGGCAAATCACGAAGCAAATCGCCAATTATGAAATTTCAGTAGTATCAATCTACTTCTCAAAGAGTATACATCGGTTAGTCAGAGAGTCACCTATAGAGTACAGTATCAAAGTAACCGAGTATCGAGTACATCACCGAGTATTATATTGATTCTAGCGCTCTGTGTAGCATCTCTATTTGGTTCAATTATCAATTAATTCTGAGTTAACTATCAACTATTTTGAGTCAATCATCAAGTTTATTATTGAGAGAATCTCTAGTGCAGTGTAAAGACTATTATCAAATTGACATTGAGACATTCACCAATTCGTGTATCCCTAAAATCAAGACGCGTGGCTTGCGCCACAAATAAAGTACATCACCAGTGTTTTTGTAATCCGCGTGTCTTTAATTTCACCCTTTCCATATCACGTGCCCCCAATCTGCCCTACTATTAGCCTCAATTTCTAACAAGATCTGTTCAAAAATTTCGCTATCTCCTTTAGATTTCGACATATTTTTGAAAAACTAATTTTTTGGAAGGACAAAATTTTCTTTCTTTCTGCATTTCACCTCGGAATTTGTGAGAGCACCAAAAATAAAAATGTTTTTGTTAGTCAATTTTCTGAACTTTATGATGAAAAAAAAAGGTTGGGAAACGACCCCAAATGGCCATTTGAAACTTTCTTTTTCAATTTTCTATGCCAAAGTACATAGATACATAAAAAACAATTTTTTTTCTCGAAAAGCTCAGAAAATTTCCGACGAAATGTATGGGTTCAAATCTTTTTTACCGTTCTTAGTGGCTCGTAATTAGAATTGAAAAAGAAGTTTTTAGAACGGAAAAAAAATCAACCTTCAATATCTCCGCGAACAATTGACTTAGAGAGCTCCGGTTACGCTCTTTTTTCTCCTTTTGGACTATACTTTTCGATAAAAAATAGGAAAAAAGTTTTAAAATTTTGAGACAATTTTTCATATTGAGAATTGGCGGATTCACTCATATATAACAAGAATAAGAATGTATCGAATTAACTTAATCTAATCCAGAAGATGAAAAAAATAAAATAGTATAGCAGAAACTAATCTAGTGACGGGCGCGCAGCCTGACAAAGCGCGCAAATCGTCTGACTAGTACTAACTAACCAGACGATTTAATTCTCTATACCAAACAATTTTGAAATATTCCACTGTAAACACAAAATACAATTCCATGAAAATAATAGAGAAAAAGTCAAAACCAAGAATCAGAAATGAAACGTCGTCGATTACGTAAGAGATGTGGCATTGCTTGAGTGTTGACGAGAGGTATAGGGAGACACGCAATAACTTTACAAACCATGAGAGTTCCCGTAAAAGTACAACCTCCTTTTTCATCAATGGTTAATAATTAATAGATTTGAGAAACAGTGGAAAGGAAAATGCAGGCATAAAAACAAAAGATTGAAGTATGCAAATGAACGACTGACAACAAAACAAGGAACCAGAGAGAAGATCGGTGAGAGGCTCAAGTCGAGCATAACGTAACCGTAAAACCGTTGCAAACGGACAAGTGAAGGAGTACGGTTAGTTTTCCCCGGATGTTCGTTGGCCTCTTTCTTATTTCCTTCGGTGTTAATGCGGCCTTGTCCGGAATGCATCCCTAACATTTTTCGTCGGTGGATTCTAGCAACATTTATTACGTGCTCAGACGACCCCTCGTATGCCTGTACATGTAGAAAACTGGCATCATGCCTTTTGCGCCGGAACACGATGGAGAAGACAAGTTTGCAAACGAGTAATGCAGCGGGTACAGAATTACTTGTTACATGTGGAGTAAAAGACCAAGTAAATTCGTTGATTTCCGCTTATAAGCCGTCACGAGCTGTCGATGGCCTCGCCGGACATCGATCATCACGGTTTAAAAATACAAGATCTGTGCGCGCGCTTTCGCGCGCGCTTATCTATTTGTTGTGAAAATGAAGAAATCGAATTTATTAAACTTCACATACTCATGGATGTTTTATAAATATTGATAATGACTTAAAGAGAATTAAGAGAACGAAGAGTGAAACATCAATGAATAATTTTTAATCTTCGATTAATTCCTTTTTTCATGTTTTAAAATAATCTGATTGAAATCTGTAATGGTTGAAACATGAGGGGAGGGTTATAAATTGATTTCCTAGAAAATTTCACAATTTTCTAGATAACCGTAAATCTTCAAAGATTCTTCTCGAATTATTTGGGAAACCGAAGAATTTTCATGAATTTTGTAGACTTTAGAATTTATGTATGAAAATCTGAGAAGCAAGAATTGATCATTTTTGCGTATGATAAATATGAAAAAATTAAAATTTAGGAAGGGCAGAATACTTTGACGAATTAAAAAAATTTAGAAATACTGTTTTTTTTTTCTCATGATTAACAATCAGAAAATTTAGATGTTTTGATATAAAGACAAACTTCACACATGAAAAAATGAAAAATGTGATGCAGAAATTTTTTTTGGAATCTGAAGAATTTGAAAATCCCGGAGGTTTTATTCAGCGACTACTTCACGTGACTCATTGACCAACCAAAATTGAGGATTAGTGGTCAGGCAGTTTCGAGATATTTCGATATAAAACAACTTCACGTTTCTTTCATCTTTATTAGTAAAAAAAATAGGAAATTGATGCATCAAATTCTGTTCTGTTCCCTCGTCCGTCCGTTTTAACGATATACTACTTTTTTGGTTTTACTAATAAAAATAATTCTTGAAGATAGTAAAATTTTTTAATAGTTTGTGTTTGTCTCTCACGTTGATAATTTTGTTGAAATTTGAACAATTTACGAATATCCCGAAGGAAAGAAAAAACTTCTGGATTTAAAATACATGTTTCGAGACTTTCCTTGAAATTCATCTTCTCACGTCGATGTAAATACGCCAACACGTCACGTGATACTTTTGATTTGATATATCATGGTAAAAAACGTTAACATATCTTATTTTTCTAACAATAACGGAAAAGACATCAGACGCATGTACAGGGGTGTCTGACCAAAATAATCATTCCAAAAACCAACTGTTTTTTGAGTGAATAATACTTCTCCAGAAATTTCGATGAAAGTTAGATCTGCGAGAAACCACATAAAAATTATTGAATGTTTTTAACCCATTGAACGACCAACGCCTACGATTGTCTACGTGTAAGAGACGTGGGGACCGTCAGTGTTGTGTAGTGCGCCATAAGAGAAGTACAGCAGCCCACGCACACTACTACAAGATGGCGAAACGTGGGAAAACGCTTGGTCGTGCAATGGGTTAAATGGTCTCCCAAATTTCGACCTAATTCCATTGAAAATTATGCTTGGAACTTACAAAGTTTTTCAGTACTCTTCGATCATTTTTCCTAATTAATTTACATTAAAAAAAAGAAGGGCAGCTAGGTTCTTTGTTTTTTAAATCAATCCTTCTCCATTTTAATCAGTGATAAACATAACCCGTAATGATACCCAACACTCACCTATCACGGTCGACATGTTCCTTCGCCAACTGCCACGACGACTCTACCTTTTTACACTCAAAAAAAATTAACCAAAAAATATCCTCAAACCGTTTCACCACTTTCACACCTGTTAGAGAAGACTTTTTATTATTAAAAAAAAAATTCTCACAGTGTTGATCTTCAACTTCAAAATCTGCAGAGTTCAAAACACATTTTCATGTTTTCTTCAACGGAGATTTCCGTATTTCGGTTCTCCGTGACTAGCCGTCTGAGAAAGACCACGTGCTTCGAAACTTTGTTCAAAATACTCGTTGAATTTTTTAGTCGCTACACTTGTTCATGAATTCCAATTGTTGTTTCTACCAATGCTGACGTTTAATTACTATTTTTCGTTTTTCTTGAAGTCACCATTATTGATAACAAGTATGGTAGTTAAATCCCGGATGAGTTCAAGAGTTAAATTATATAATAATAACCTGGATGCGTGGAGAAGACTACAAACGTGTCAACCGGTAAAGCAGTTTGCTAGGGTGCTGCCTCACTGGAAGTCTCTGTCATACGGGAAAAGAGTGAAACCCACTACACCCTGTTATCCGAAAATCATGTTGAAGTTGAGCACGTTGTACAGAGAATTACCTCCCCGATGATAAATTTTTCTCTACACTCGTATTTCTATCAAAATGTGTTAGACGTCGACGTGATCAATGTTGATATCAACTCAATCGTGATTACTTCTTATCTGTTTTGGTGTTTCGTCATTGAAAGTATGGGATACAACATATGCTCATTCCTATCACGTTGGATTCAGTCTTGACTCATACAAAGCTCACTCAATTCAATACCCTTTCACTTTTTCTCCGTCAATTCTATTGGAAATATCTACTTTTTTCCAACTTATCGTATTCTCATCACTCCTGCGGCAATTTCATCACTTGAATATTCGTTAATATTTAAAAATTGTATGAAACGTTTTTTCCTCCTTATTCTGTTTCTTTTTGTTATGTAATTACTTTACTTTTTGAAAAGATTTTGCAAGGTAAATGAAAATAAAACAAAATCGCTGGAAAGTAAAAAAGGAATTGAAAACTAATTTCACAGTATGCAATTTGTGAATTTGCGTTAAAACAACGGCGGGTATACCGTGTGGCTTGATTGCCACATGTACACGGACTACGCGCCGACGGGTGAACGACGAGGCCCGAAGATTGTCGGTGAATTCCGGATATCATCGGGCCCTTACGCGCGCCGGTTATTCGTATTCTCTTGAAGTTATATATATATATATATATATATATATATATATATATATATATATATATATATAT